TGATTAAATTGTCAGGAATTTGTTGATGTTTGTCTGTGACACTGCGTGTGGCCAATCCTGGAGAATGTCCCAGGTGTACTTGAGAAAAATTTGTGTTCAGCTTTTGGTGGCATGCAGTGCCCTATTACACTCATGTGGTCTAATTTTTTTTATAATAAATTTTATTTTTATATTCCCCATACAATTGCAACCCCCCATTTTGACCCAATCCCTCCCCTCCACCCCCCACCCCCCAAAAAGTGTCTCTGGTTCATAGTTTTTTGTTGATTTTGATTTTCACTTTCTTATAGTTATTCATTTTCCTGGTCCCTTATTTTAAGTTTTCTAGATTCCTGCTATGAGTGAGACCATCCGGTATTTTTCTTTTTGTGCGGTCTAATTCTTTAAGGCAGTTGTTTCCTATTCATTTTCTGTCTAGTTGATGTGTCCATTGGTGAGAGTGGGGTAACGCCCCGGCCACATGTGTGTTTTCAGAGTGATAGTATTTTGGTGATTGTACGCTGTTGAGTATTTTGTCTTCCTGATGTTTGTCCCATTGATCATCACTTAGTATCCCCTCCAGTCCCATTACCTTTTTTAGCTCAAAATCTGTTTTATCTGGTATGAGGATGGCTGTCCCTACCTGCCTGTGTTAGAAAAATCTTTTTGTCTGGCTCAATATTTGTTCATTTTGTTTAGCTTTTTCAAGAAGCAGCCTTTGGTTTCAGTAATCATCTGAGTTGTCTCTGTGATCTCTGTTTTTTTGATATATGCTTTATTTTTTTCCTTCTGAAATTTTTACTTTTCTTTTTCAAGTTCCTTTGTAGGTAAACTTTAATTTTCTTCTGATTTTTCTTGATGAAACACTTTTTTGAATGTAAATAATTTTGTAATTTAGAAAAATTAACTGTTACATATTTTAAAAAGTTTTAATATGGCAAAATTACACATGTCATAAATTTTACATTGAATCATGTTTAATGTACATTCCAGTGGTTTCAGTAGAGTCACATTTTTCTGAAGCCAGGCTCTGGAATGCTTTATTTTTCAAAAGTGATACATAGTATCTTTAAATAACTTTATATCCTTAACTTATATCCTTAATTATATATATTTTTTAAAGATTTATTTATTTATACAAGAACTGGGGTACAGGCCAGATGTGTGGCATGTGTTTATCTTTTTTGAATGCTGAATAATATTCCATTGTGTATGTATACCACATCATCTTGATCCAGTCATCTATTTTTGGGCATTTGGGTTGTTTCCAAAGCATAGCTATTGTAAATAGTACTGCTATAAACATAGGGGTGCAAGTGCTCTTTGGAATTGTTTCTGTGTCCTTTGGGTAAATACCTAGGAGTGGAATTGCTGGATCATATGGAAGTTCTATCTTTAATAGGTTGAGGAAGCTCCACACAGCTTTCCATAGTGGTTGGACCAGTTTGCACTCCCACCAGCAGTGCAGGAGAGTTCCTTTTTCTCCACAACCTCGCCAACATTTCTTGTTGCTAGTTTTTTTTAATATGTGCCATCCTCACTGGTGTGAGGTGGTATCTCATTGTGGTTTTGATTTGCATTTCCCTGATTGCAAGTGATGTTGAACATTTTTTCATATGCCTGTTGGCCATTTGTATTTCCTCTTTGGAGAAATTTCTTTTTAGCTCTTCTGCCCATTTTTAAATCAAATACTTGTGAATAAACCTAACAAAAGAAGTAAAGGACCTCTACAAAGAAAACTATAAAACACTGTCAAAAGAAATAGAAGTAGACACAAAGAAATGGAAAGACATCCCCTGCTCATGGATCGGAAGAATTAACATTACCAAAATGGCCATCCTACCAAAAGCAATATACAGATTCAATGCTATTCCAATTAAAATTTCAATGTCATTCTTCAAAGAAATAGAAAAAATATTGATGAAATTCATATGGCGCCGCCAAAACCTTCCTGAAAAAAAAAAAAAAAAGAAGGGAATGGAGGCATCACACTCCCAGATTTCAAACTATACTACAAAGCCATAATCATCAAAACTGCATGGTATTGGAACAAGAACAGACACACGGACCAATGGAACTGAATAGAAAATCCAGAAATAAACCCACAGATTTATGGTCAACTAATCTTTGACAAAGGAGCAAAGAATATGCACTGGAGCAAAGAAAGTTTGTTCAATAAATGGTGCTGGGAAAACTGGGTCGCCTCATGCAAAAGAATGAAACCTGACTACTGCCTCACACCATGCACAAAAACCAACTCAAAATGGATTAAAGAACTAGACATAAGACCTGAAACCATAAAATATATAGAAGGAAATGAAGGCAAAACACTACATGACATGCACCTCAAAGACATCTTTACAGACACATCACCCAAAGCAGTGATAGTGAAGGCAAAGATAAACAGCTGGGACTACATCAAATTAAAGAGCTTCTGCACAGCAAAAGAGACAATAACCAAAACAAAGAGAAACCCCACCAACTGGGAGAACATTTTTGCACACAACACTAATGATAAAGGACTGATCACAAAAATCTACAAAGAGCTGATGAGACTCAACAACAAAGAAAATAATTCTTCATGGTTTTTAATATATGTCATGATGTAACAGGGTGGTGCCCAGGAATAGGGGAGGTTCCAGGTTCCCTGCCCCACCTTGAGGAGGGTGGAGCTGAGCAGGGAGGAGAGGAAGCTGGAGGAGACTGGGGAAGGGAGGAAGTAGGGATGGGGAGCCAGAAGGAGACCTGGAGGAGGCACTTGGAGCAGAGAGACACGTGGAGCAGAGAGACACGTGGAGCATAGAGACATGTGGAGAAGCTGCACTTGCTTCCTGGTCCTGGACTGGGTGAAACAGACATGGGTGAGAGACCCATGGGGAGGATAACAGTGGCAGCTTTTATCTTGATTTTGAGTTTGCTGTTTTCCTCCCAGACTTGTCTGGTTGTTTCTTTGATCCTTTTCTATGGGGTCCCGCCAGAGGAGCTTTAGACTGGTGGCAGCTTTCTGGCCTTGTTCTGGGTGGACATTTACCCACGTGGGGATGGGTAACTTCGGGTGCTTGAGGGTTCTGGGGTGCCCCTCTCCCTGCCCTGTAACAGTGCTGTCTCTGAGCAGAGAAATGCATTTAAATAATCTTTTCCCTGCCAATTTGCTCTGCGTGGACATCCAGGTCTGTTGAATGACCATGATTAAGTGGTGTCACTGCCTTTTACCTCATTATAGAGGAAATGTCTTTAATCCTCCACTATTGAATGTGATGGTGGCCTTTAATACACTGAAGTAATTTCCTTTTGTTCCTGCTTAGGTGAGTGTTTTTATAGAAACAGTGTTGTTTAGAAACAGTGTTGAATATTGTTAAACTCTTTCTGCATTAGTTGATATGATCGTGTAATTTCCACCTCATTCTGTTAATGTGGCACCCACATTTACTGATTTCCATCTGTTTAAATTGCCTTTAATTCCAGGAATTAATCCCAGTTGATCATGATGTGTATTTCCTTAATGTGCTTTTGAAAACAGTTTCTGATCTTTTATTGAGGACTTTGGCATCAATATGCATCATGGGTAGAAGTTTCTAGTTTTCTTTATTCGTAGTGTATTTGCATGGCTTTTATATCCAATTAATCCTGCCCTCCTAGAAGAATTTTTCTTCTCTTCACATTTTGAAAGTGTCTGAGGAAAGCTGGTATAATTTTTCATTAAAAGTTGCTTGCTTGAATTATCCACTGAATACATGTGGACTTTTATTAGGTGGGGATGGATTACTCTTTAAAAATACTAGGTTTTTGTGATCAGTCCTTTATCATTAGTGTTGTGTGCAAAAATTTCCCCCAATCCGTGGGGTGTCTCTTTGTTTTGGTTATTGTCTCTTTTGCTGTGCAGAAGTTCTTTAATTTGATGTAGTCCCAGCTGTTTATCTTTGCCTTCACTATCACTGCTTTGGGCGATGTGTCTGTAAAGATGTCTTTGAGGTGCATGTCATGTAGTGTTTCACCTATATTTCCTTCTATATATTTTATGGTTTTGCAATCAAAAAAGATAAACTCATGCAATTTGCGGCAACATGGATGGAGCTAGAGGGGATCATGCTCAGTGAAATAAGCCAGAAAGAAAAAGAAAAATACCGGATGGTCTCACTCATAGCAGGAATCTAGAAAACTTAAATAAGGGACCAGGAAAAAGACTAATTATAAGAAAGTAAAAATCAAAATCAACAAGCAACTATGGACCAGAGACACACTACGGGGGAGGGGGGTGGCGGAGAGAGGAAGGATTAAGGTCAAAACGAGGGGGTGCAATTGTGTGGGGAATATAACCAACATATATTTTGCACAATACAACATTGTGCAAAAATGAAAAATTATGTAAGAATTATATAAAATAAAATACTAGGTATAGATAGACCTGTGTGATTTTTAAAATGTTTATAGAAATTTATACATGTTAATAGTTATCCAATTTGTTGGCATAAAATTGTTCACCTTTGCCTCATAGTTCTATTTATGTCACTTTATATCTGCTTTACTTCTGCTATCACCGGAATATTATCTTTTATTAATGTAGCTATCTTTTTAAATCTCTTTAAAATACAAGCTTCCTTTCATTGATATTTTCCTACAGTTTACAATACTATTATGTGTATTGCAGTTTTATCTTTAGATCTCACCATCCCTGCTCATTTTGCGGTGAGGTCACTCTCCTTTTCTAATTCCTTGTGCTGTAAGGTTGTGTTTTTCAATTGAGAGCCCTCTTAGTTTTGCATGTAAATCCTTATTTCCTCAAATGTCACTTTTAGTATACTTCACTTTTAGTATACTTGTCCTGTAAGGGGTATTGCATTTGGAATTGTCTTGAGATATTTTCTCATATCACTTTGAATTATTAAGTCCTGCTGATTGCAAAGTGGTGGTCAAATTCCCCTTATTTATGAAACTTCAGTTTGCTGCTGGCTTTTGATTTCTAGTTTCATTTTACTGTGACCACAAAAAATACTGACATGATTTGTCTTTTCTATTTTAAGGCTTGTTTCGTGGACACACAGGTTACTGTACTGGAGAAAACTTTATGACCGATGGAGAAGGTGAGGTGGTGTATTTTGAAGTTTGCCCGGGTTGTCGCTAGATCTGTGACACCTAAGGAATCTAAAATGTCCCACTCTTTATTGAACTTGTTTTTGCAGCTGGTTGGGGCCTCAGCCTCTTACTGTGGTGTTCCTTTGCGTTTCTTGCTACAATTCTGTCAATATATTTGGAAGAGCTTTCTATACTCGTGAACCCCAACTTTAGGTGCACAGGCATGGACATTTCTTCCCAGTGAATTTGCTGTCATTATGCCACGTCTGGCTTGGTTGAGATTCTCTGAGTCAGGCATCCTCCCGTGATGCTACTGTGGTGAATGCTGCTCTTCCGTGGCCATCATTTGCCTGGAATCTTTCACACTTTTACATACATTCTGTGTATTCCTGTGGGTCTGAGTCTCTTGTAGATACAGGTTAGTGAGAATTTGGTTGCTTTCATCCCACCAAGTAGGGAGTGCCTACAATTACCATTTTAAATTAGGGTCTGCACTTGTGACTCTTTTGTGCCACATTTCCTCTCTGCTGTGTCCCTGGGGGTCTCACTGATTTTTGTGGTGACATGCTTAGTCTTTTTTTTTCCATTTTATTGTTTTGGTGAAGTGCATACATTTATTTTTTAATATTTAAAAATATAAGAGGTAACATTGGTTATAAATGTCTCAGATGGACAGCACTGTAATAATTATAAACACTCTTGTCATCAAATTTTTTTTTGTTTTCTTGGTTACCATGGGGATTACATAACAACTCTTTACCTAGGACACAATCTGTTTAATCAAACAATACAACTTCTGTTTCACACACAGACTCTTACAGCATCTCTCTGCACTAGCTTTATATTATTGCCATTATGAATGACATGTATTTTACATTGTGTAACCTTTTACATAGATGTATGATTCTTACACTACTGTTTTTTAAAATTGTGTGGAAATAGTGACTCGTGACGCAGCTTTACACCCTACAGAATTCCATGTTTGTGTGTTTACAAGAGTGTCACATGTTCATGTGCTGATCCTCAGTGGTTACAGATGCTGGCAGCGTGTGTAGCTGTTGCAGGTGCTGTGTGATGATGCGTGTGGTGATGGCAGGGAGATTCTGGGCACTAGGTGATGTGCAGCCGTTCTTGGTGCTGGGCAGTGATGCATAGTTATATTTCCTACACAGAGGAATGTCTTTAGGGGGGAAGGGGTTCCAGCATGGAGCCACTGGCTGCTGGAATTAGCAAGGTTTCATGAAGTTGCCAAGACGGTGCCCATCAGTTTTTTTTTTAATCTTTTAAAAAAAGATTTACTATGCATACAAGAACTGGGGTACAGGCCAGAGGTGGGGGGTGGTGAGAGGATTCAACAGAGAGAGAGAGTGGGGAGCAGAACTGACGGATCTACTGAGGGCAGCAGCGGGAGAATCAGGAGAGGTCTGCTGCACAGGTGAGTAGCTCCCTGGCTGGGAATTGAAACTCGTGCTGCAGAGGCTGCGGATAGCTTCATAGGCTGCTTTGTAATCCCTTGCGCCTCCAGGGAGGCCTCCCATCAGTTTTCAGACCTGGGCTCATTCCAGATGCTATTCCAGTACTGCAACTATTTCATTACCTATGATTTAGGCTCCTGTCAGCCCAGAGTTACTGCACTGAATCCCATGGTGAATGGATTTGTGTGTTTGGCTTGAGGTGGGGGGCAAAAAGGGGGGAGTCTTTCAGGGTGACTCCTCCATGCCCTATCATTTGTAGATACTCGTGGGTGTTTTTCTCTTCAACCCTCAACACTGGACTTCTCTGTGCTGTGCACACGTGAAAGCTGGGATTCCTGATGGGGCACTGCCGCCCCCTCCCCTGAGGTCACCCCTCCCCTTCAGAATCCCATTTGGCCTTGACTCTCCACACCCCGGGTGAGTCGCCTTCCTCGGGAGGAGCTGGTCTCCGGTCCTCGTCTGTGCTTCTCGGTGCTGTCCTTTCAGCCTGTGTTGTAGGATCTCCATTTATCTGGCTTTCAGGCCTCCTCCCTTTGTAAATTATTCCATGTACATTCCATGTTTCTCCCCGGGAAGAGGTGAGTTCAGGTTTCGCCTAAGTCACTGCCTCAAGCTCATGTCCCCAGTATCATGTGTCTTGAAGATCTCTAAAGTGTAAATTGTTGACCTATGACTTGTTGCAGGACAGCAAAGGGGGCAGAAGCTTTTTTTGACGCCAATAGTGGAAGACTTTCTTTTGAAGACATGCCATTGGGGTTTTTTCCTCCCATTTTTCATTCTTGGTTCTCTCTGTCCAGATATTTGCAAGTTTCTCTCAAACTCACAGAATCTTTCCTGTGCTTTATCCACTCTGATACTGATGCTCTCAGTTGAATTTTTCATTGTTTTTCTTGAAATATGTTGGGGCATAAAATAAATTTAAAATGTACATCATGTTAATTTGATACATGGTATATTGTAATATGATTGCTATGTAATACGATGGCCTCTGTCACATTTTTTTCTGTGGTCGTGAAAATTAAAGACACTTAGCATGTTTGATAATCCTAATACAACATTTTTATCTATATTTACTATACTGTGCATTGTCTCTCTGGGAATTATTTACTGGTTGTTGCAAGTTTTTGCCCTTCATGTTTCTCCTTCCCTGTAATCTCATCTCTGGTAACCAACATTCTACTCATTTTTATGAGTTTTGCTTGTTTATATTCTATATATGAGAAATGTTGCAGTATGTCTTGATCTAACTTATCTCACTTAGCAAAATATCCTCAAGGATCATCCATGTTGTTATTACTGGTAGGATTTCTTTATCCTGGCTGAATAATATTCCATTTTGTGTATAGGTATCCATCTATCTCTGTAGCTCTCTCCATACATCCATATGTACTTATGTCTGTCTGTATGTCGACATCTATACAAATATTACGTACCTTACTGGTTTTGATTTGTATTTTCTAATGGTTAGTGGTGGTAAACATTTTTTCATTCTTGGCTGATTAGATGTCTTCTTGGGGAAAAATATCTATTTCATCTGCCAATATGAAAATATATAGAATATATATTTTTTGTAATAGTATATATTACATATACTTAAGTTATACAATTCAGCTTTATATATTTTGGATATTAGCTGTTTATCTGATATGGTTTGTAAAATTTTTTTCCCATTTTTCAGGTTGCTTTTTCATTTTTTTGATTTTGTTGTACAAAAGCTTTTAAAAAGTTCCACTTGTTGATTTTTGCATTTTTTTATTAGTGCTTCAGTTTCCATAATTGTGATCAGTTTGTCCAACTCTTTTTCTTTGTCGTTTGTCTTGATAAACTACATTTTCTAGAAATTTTTCCATTTTATCAAAATTACCAATTTTAGTGACGTATTTGTTCATGGTAATCTGTTAGGATCCTCTCTATTTCCATGACATCCGTGGTAATTTCTTTCAGTTCTGATTCTCTTCATTAATGTTTACTCTCTTCATTGTCAGCTTAAGTAGAGGTGAAGAGCCTCTAGTTCTGAAAGATCCAATGACAGAAAATGGGATTGTTTTCTGATTTCCTTCCTTTAGTTCACTGTTTACATGAGAACACATCGTATTTTTGTATATTGTAGCCTGCTATTCCCTGAACTGATTGTTTTTTCTAATAGTTTTTTATGAAATTTTTTATGTATATTATGTTGCCTGTACCTTGTATTTTTAACTTATTTTCCCATTTGGATTCCTTTCATCTCTTTCTCTTGCCTAGCTGCTCTAAGCAGGACTTTGAATACTGTGTTGAATAATAGTGGGGAAGGTGGACATCCTTGTCTTATACCTGATCTCACAGGAAAAGCTTTCAGGGTTTTTCCCATTGAGTATGTTATTAGCTCTGAGTTTGTCGTACATGTCCTTTATGATGTTGAGGTAGACTGCCTCTATTTGCATATTGCTTGGAGATTTATTTTATATATTGTTTACATCATTTTTCATTTTTGTACAATGTATGCATTTTCATCTTGGCTATATTCCCCGTACAGTTCCCACCCCCCACCCTTGTTTTGATCCTACTCCCTTCTTCCCCTCCTCCCACAGTGTGTCTCTGGTTTATAGTTGCTTGTTGATTTTGATTTTTACTTTATTATAATTAGTCTTTTTCCTGGTCCCTTATTTAGGTTTTCTAAATTCCTGCTATGAGTGTTGAACCACCCTCTCATCACTGGAATAAATTTTATTTGTCAAAGTGTGTGATTCTCTAATATTCTAATATTGTTGAGTTTGGTTTACTAAGACTTGGTTGAGAGTTTTTGCATCTCTGTTCAGCAGGGATTTTTGGTCTGTAGTTTTCTTTCTTTATGATGTTCTTGTCTGGTTTTGATGTTAGCGTAACAATGGCCTGATAAAATGTATTTGGAAGAATTCCCTCTTCCTGAATTTTTTGAGGTAATTTGAGAGGATAAGTATTAGTTTATCTTTGAAGGTTTGGTAGAACTCACTACTCAACTGTCCGGTCCTGGGCTTTTGTTTTTTTGTTTTTTTTTTTTTTGCCGGTCTCACAGGGACATTTATTCACATCAAGGAGGAGACGGGGCTGGACGAGGGCACAGGGACGTCCCACGCTGCCGGCTCCATCAGCCTGCGCTGCGGAGGGCCGGTCAGTGGTGGCCGTGGGCAGGTGCGGGACTCGGACCTTTCAAAGCTTTACTTCTTTTATCAGCACTCCTGATCTTGTAAATGATGACGCTCATCAGCCCCATTCCTACCCAGATCTCCTGGTAGACCTGGGTATAGTAGGGCTTCATGGGGGTCCAAACATTTTTAATGAGGCTCTGAAACATCTCGGCGCCGACCCCGACCCCCGGCTACGGCCGCCCGACCGGCACGCCAACAACTCGGGAAGGTCACCCCTGGGCTTTTGTTTTTGGAGATACTTCTGATTATTGTTTTGGTTTGTTCTGTTCAGGTTTTCTACTTCTTCCCATTTTGGCTTAGAAGGTTGCATGGTTTTAAGAGTTTGTTATTCTAGATTTTCTGATTTATTGCTATAAAGATGTTCATAGTAGTCTCTTATGATTCTCTATTTCCCGGCTGTCTTCTGTAACCTCTCTTTGTTTGATTTTACTTATTGGTTTTTCCCTCTCTGGGTTAGAGATTCTAGTTAGAGGCTTGTCTGTTTTTCTTTTTAATCAAAGAATCAACTTTTGGGTTTTTTTTTTCCTCATTGTCTTTGATTTCTGTTTCATATTTCTGCTCTAGTAATGCTTATTTCCTTCCTTACATAGTCTTGGTATTAATTCCTTTAAAGTATATGCTTTCCAATTTTTTTCTTCATTGCTAAATTTGATGTGCACAAGTTCAGTATTTGATGTAACCACAGTTGTGTGTTTATAGTATTGTTGCCTGTGTTTGAATGTCATAGTGAAAAAATCGGTGCCAAATTGGGCTTCATGAGTTATTTTGATATTTTGTTCTTTGAGATTTATAGTTACACATTTTAAGTTTTTTTTAAAAGATTTTTATTTTTTTTAAAAAGATTTATTTATGCATACAAGAGCTGGGGTACAGGCCAGAGGTGTGGAGGGTGAGAGGATTCACCAGAGACAGAGTGGGGAACAGGAGAGGCAGCCTGACTGAAATGCTCTGCTGAGGGGAGCAGTGGGGGAGACAGGAGAGGCCTGCTGTGGGTAGCAGAGGGCCTTGTGGGTAGCTCCCTGGCCGGGGATGGAACTCGTGCTGTAGTGGCTGGTGATAGCTTGATAGCACTGAGACTTTAACCCCTGTGCCACCAGGGAGGCCCCCATTTTAAGGTGGTGTTTTTTTTAAGATTTATGTATGTATATAAGAACTGGGGCACAGGAGTGGGAGATGAGAGGTTTCACCAGAGACAGAGCAGGGAACAGAACAGGTAAATCAACTGAAGTACACTGCTTAGGGGAGCAGCAGGTGAGTCAGGAGAGGTCTGCTGTGCCATGTGGGTAGCTCCCTGGCTGGGGATAGCTTCATAGGTTGCATCTTAACCCCTTGCGCCACCAGGGAGGCCCACCATTTTAAGTTTTTAATACATTTTAAGTTCATGTGTATATATGGTGTTAGGTAAGGGTTCAGATTCCTTCTCTTGCACTTGAACACCATTTTTTAAAAATACCATTGATTGTCCTTTCTGTATCAGGCGTAAGTACCACTGTCTAGTGTATTTGACATGAGGTTTCTGTTTGGGTTTACTGTTTAAAGTGTTTTAATATTGGGGAGTGTGAGACCATAAACTTTCTCTGATATTCATTATCCCCTGAATATCCCATGTGAATTTTAGAATGTGTCTATTTTTGCCATAAATGTTTTTGGGGTTTTGGTAGCAGTTATACTAAATCTGCAGATCACTTTGTTGGTGTCAACTTTAATATACCAAGTGTTCCCCAGCCTGCCATGGCGTATGCTTCCATTCACGGCGTCTTTCTTCAGTGACTTCCCAGCATCCAGTATGTCTTCAGTCCAACCCAAAGTTCATTTCCAAGGATTTTATTTTTGATATGGTGCTTAATGTCATTGTAATGCTAGTTTATTTTTTGGATTGGTCCCTGATTTTTATGTGTTGAATAATGTAATCCTGAAACTTTATTAAGAAATTGTTTTTAATTTTTTTGTGTGTGGATTCTTCGATAGTTACGCATATGTCATCTGAACAGATTTTACTATTGTTTTTTCACTTGGATGATTTGAATTTTTTTGCTTGCCTGGTTCTACATGGACCCCCCCAGTGCTGTGGTGAGTTACATCACAGCCTTTTTTTCTGATCATGGAGGGAAAGATGTCAGGTTTTACTATTGAATGTGATGCTGACCGTGGGCTTTTATCTAGGCCCTGAGTTACACTGATGAGGTTTCCTTCTGTGCCTCCCTCGAATGTTGATTTAAGGGTCTTGAATTTTGTCCAATTCTGCAAAATTTATTTTTCTGCATCAGTTTATATGATCATTTTGTATGTTAATGTGGAGGCCTAAAGTTATTGTTGGAACATCCTTGAATCACGAATGATTCCCAGGTGGTCGTGGTGTGTATTTTGAGCATGTGCTTTTGAATTCAGTTTCCTGTATTTTACTGAGGAACTTTACATAGTATTGATCATGGGTAGCAGTTGCTAGTTTTATTTGTAGTGTATTTGAATGACTTTGATATCCAGGTAATTCTGCCTCACAGAAAGGGTTTTTCAAAATGTGAAGAAAGGAAAATGTTTCAGGAGAACTGGTGTAATTTTCTTTAGATGTTTGCTTGCATTATCCACAGAGTGCCTGTTGTCCAAGACTTTTTGTGGGGAGCTTTGTTTTATTACACATCAAATTTGCTTAGTAAGTGGAGCTGTGTTGTGATTTTTTTAAATTTCTTTGTGATAGCCTAGATAGACCATCTACAAAGATGCAATCTTACATTTCTATATAACTAGTGGGCTGGTAATATAAATGTACCTGGTATAAATGTTGTCCCTGGCAACATTTATAATCTGCTTTTACTTCTGGTTTATCTTTCATGGTAAAAAAAATTACAACTGGCTGTGTTAGTATTTTTTTTTTTTTCAGATTTATTTATTGATACAGGAACCGGGGTACAGGCCAGATGCCTGGGAGGGTGAGAGGATTCACCAGAGAGAGCGGGGAACAGAACAGGCAGACTGAATGAAACACACTGCTGAGGGGAGCAGCGGGCAAGAGAGGAGAGGTCTGCTGCTGCGCCATGTGGGATTCCCGCCGGCTGGTGAGGATCGAACCCACGCTGCAGAGGCCGCGGACAGCTTCACAGTGTGGCGCTCAACCGCCTGCACCACCAGAGAGGCCCAGGAACATTTCATACTTTGAAATACATCCAGCTGTGGTGTCAGGAGGAAGCTGTAAACTCAGGTGAATTGTGTGTGCCAGTGACTGGTGCTGGGAAGGGCCAGCGCTGTTGCGGCCAAGCCCTTCCCTCCCCCCAAGACTCCTGTTCCAGTGCGAGTTCTCACCTCTGATCACCTCAGGTAAGTTTTAAAAAATTGTCAAATACTGACTTGAGTGTTACTAGGAATTCCTTGCTCGCGGTGTGGGCCACACAGCTCCACTCTGGTTCAGAATACTTGAGGGGTGCTCAATCTCCTGAACGTTTCAGGTGACCATATGTAGTATACTCTCACTGATAAGCACGGAGAGTACACAGACACTCAGGTAGATGGCAAATTTGAAAAATCTGATCATTTTAAACATGCAAAAACCACTAATTTACTCTTTCGGGTTTGAGAAATTTAAATGACCACAGGTAAGAGCTCCCGACCTGCTTTGTCTGTCTCTGTCACTGTGTGTGTCTCTATCTTGGTCTCCCTGTCCCGGCTTCTCCGTCTACCTCTCTGTCCCTCTGTATCTCACTGTGTATCTCAGTCTCTTTCTCTCCTCTTTGTATGTGTGTCACCTTCAGGATCTGTCTCTGTCTTCTGTCTCTCCTTCTGACTATCACACTATCTTTTGTCTGGTTGTATCTCTGCCTGTCTCTGTCAGCCTCTTGCCCTGTTGAGCTGTCAGTTTCTGTCTCTTAGTCTCTGGCTGTCTGTCACTTTGTCTGTGTCTCTCTCATCCTCTGGGCAGCGATCTGTGTGTTTGTCTCTCACCATCTCCCTCTATTAGTAACTGTCTCTGTCTCACTCGATCTCTAAGCTTCTGTGTCTGTCTCAGTCTGTTTTCCTCATCTCTGCATCTCTTACTGTCCCTTTTCTCTTGCACAATATTCTCTGTATCCTCCTGTCTTCGTTCTACCTGTGTTTTGTCTCAGTTACCTGCTTCTCTCTGTCCACTTTTCTGTCTGTCTCCAGGGATCTCTCCTGCCTTGTATTTCTTTCTGTCTCATTGTAACTCACTGTCTCTACTCTGTCTCTCATCTTTGTAACTTGTCTGTCTCTGTATTGCTGTGTTCTACAAAGATGAGAAACACAGAAATATCCTTTGTCTCTGTCTCCCTCTTGCTGCGTGTCTCTGTCTGTTTCTTTTATCTCTGTATCTCTGCCTCTCATCCTGTTTGTTTCTCTTTCAGTGTCTGTCTTTATATTTTTCTGTGTCTCAATCTCTGCTTCTGTGTCAGGATCCCTCTTGGTCTATCTCTGTTTCTGTCTCTCCATAGGCGTCCCTGTCTGTCTCTGTCTCTCCTTTTGTTTTGTGTCTCTGTGTCCCTTTGTCTGTTTCGGTCTTTCTCCATCTGCGGATCTGTCTGTCCTGTGTCTGTACCGCTCCCTCTCCCTCTGCTCTTGCTGTGTTTGTTTCTTTCTCATCTATCTCCCTCATCTCTCCTGTCTAAGTATCTATCTTTCTCTGTTGATGTGTCCCTTTCTGTGTGTCTCCTGTCTCTGTGCATCTCTTGTTGTGTGCTGTTTCTCCATCAGTGTCTCTCAGTGTTTGTCTCTATCTTGACGTCTGTTCTAGATTTGGCTGACTTTGTCACTTGGTCTGTCTGGCTGCCTCTGCCCCTGAGTGTCTCTCCCGTTGTCTCTCATTCTCTGGGCCTCTCCACCTGTCTCTGTGTTAACTCTCCCTTTCTCTGCCTGCCTTCGTCTCCTGTGTATCTCAGGATCCTCTCTATCTCTGTCGCTGTCGGCCTCTGTCCATGTCTCGTCTGTCGGTAGATCGGTCTCTCTCTGTCCCCACCTGTCTCCATCATTCTATACATCTGTCTTTCCTTGTCTCATACACACTGTATGTGTCTCTCCTTCACTGTCTCTGAATATTGTTCTTCTGTGTCGTCTGTGTGTGTCTGTCCTGTCAAGTCTCTCTACACTATCTTTGTCTCTGCCTTTCTGTACCTCTCTGTAACTCTCTCTCTCCTGTGCCTGTTCCTGTATCCCTCTTGATGTGTTGTATTTCTTTCTCTCTCTTTCTGCCTCTTTCTCTATGCCCTTCTATCTGTAGCTGTCAAGTCTCTATACACGTCTCTGTTGCATGTCTGCCGTCCTGTGTCCCTCTCTTGCTGTGTGTCTCTCCAGTTGTCTTGTTCTCACTGTCTCTGGGTGTATGTGTCTATCTGCCGGTCTCTGTCTCCCTGTTTCTCTCACTGTCTGCCTCTCACCCTGTTTATCTGTTTCTGTCTCTCTCGATGTGGATCTCTTTATGGCTCTGTCTCTCTCCCCTGTATCTGCCTGTTTGTGTGTTTTCCAGTTTTTCTGTTTCTACCTCTCTCTCTCTTACTGTATCTCTGGCTATCTCTGTGTCTGTCCCTCTAAATCTCCCTTGCTGTGTGTGACTCTATGTACCATTTGTCTCTGTCAGTTTGTGTGATGTATCTGTCTCGTCTGTGTTTCTAATATACAGACCACCTCTGTCCTGTATTTTCTGTGTCTGTGTTTCTGTCTCTCACTCACTCTGTCCCTGTCTCCATATCTGTGCACATCTCTGCCTGCCTGTGTCTCCCTCATCTCTATGTCTGTCTCACTCGCACTGCGTTCTCTCTCTCTCTGTCAAGTCTCATACTGTACAATGTCTCTATTATTCCTCTCACCCTGTTGATCTATCAGTTTCTGTCTCTCTTGGTCTCTGTCTCTCCCTTTCTTGCTGTGTATATGTCTGTGTCTGCTCTCTCTCTCTGTGGGTCTGTCTCTGCTCTGTCTCCTGTCTATTTCTGTCTTGTTTCCTTTGTGTCTGTCTGTCTACCTATGTCTCTCTGTCCCTCTGAGTCCTCTCTCGCTGTGCATCTGTCTCTGTACCATTTGTCTCTGGCAGTCGCTTCTCTCCCTGTCTCATTGTGTGTCTCCATTTGCCTCCGTCTGTCTCTCACTCTTTCCGCATGTCTCTGTCCACATCTCTATCAGTCTGTTTCCCTCGTCTCTACTCGCTGAATCTGTCTCTGTATCCTCTATCTTCTCTCTGACTCTGGTACCCCCACTCTGTTTCTCTTTTTGTGTGACTGCTGTCTGTCCCTACGGATCTCTCTCGCTGTGTGTTTCTCTGTCCCTGCCTCGCCCTGTCGCTATGTCTCCCGTCTTTGTCTGCATCTGTCCTCCTGTCTGAATCTGTCTCTACTCTGCGCCTGTCTCGTCTTGTAATTCTCCGTCTCATCTGTGTGTTTCTCCCACTGACTGTGTAGCTTGATCTCTGTGTCTGTGTGTTGCGTCCCTCTGTTCTATCTGTCAAGGCTCTTTACACTATCTCGTGATGATATGGCGCTCTCTCCATTTGTCTGTCTTGGTTTCTCTGTCTCTGTCCCTCTCTGCACCCCATCCTGTTTACCTTGCTCTGTCTCGCTCTTGGTCTATCTGTGTGTGTGTCTTGGGCTGTCACTCTTTGTAGCTCCGTGTTTGTCTCCCGCTCTGTCACTATCTCTGACTCTGTGTCCCTGTTTCTTGTGTATGTTCATCTGTCAGTTTCACTCACCGTCAGAGTCTCTAGACAGAGCTGGAGAACTGCCACCCTGGCCTGTCTCTCTGAGCTGCTTCTTCATCTCTCAGTATTTCTCTTTCTCTCACCAAGTTTCTTGGTTTCCCTTCCGGTGTATGTCTGTCTCCTTTCCTCCACTCTCTGTCACTGCCGAGCACCCATTTATTTATCTGTTTCTCTGAGATCTGTCTCTGTCTGTTATGTCCATCTCTGTCCCTTTCCTTGTCTATCTCTCTCACTGTCTCTCTGCAAAGTTTTTCTCCCACTAGCCTCCTTTGTCTGCCTCTGTCTCTCACTATCGTCCTGTCTTTACCTGCCTCCTTTTTCTCTGTATGTCTCTGTCTCTTTCTGTGTGTCTGTCACTCTGCGTGTCTGCCGCTCTATATCCCTCTCTCGGTTTCTTTTTCTGCGTGTGTCTGCCTCTCCCTCTCTTGCTGTGTCTCATTATGACTCTGTCTCCGCCTGGCCCTACTGTCTGTCTTTGCGCATCTGCGTCCCGGCTCCACAGGTTCCCGTCGGTCTGTCTGTTTGTGTGTCTATCTCCGTCCCTGTGTTGCTACCACTGTCTCACTGTCTGTCCCTCTAACCCTCCCTTGCTGTGTCTCTGTCCCATCCCTGTCTGTGTGAGCTGAGTCTCTCCTTTGTACTTCCGTCTCAGTTTGTCTGGTTCTGCTTCTCTCGCTCTGGCTCCCTCTGCACATCTCTGCCTGTCTGGGTCTCTCCTGAATGCTGTTTCTCTCTCTGCCTTTCTGTACTGCGTTCTCTCTCTCCGGCTGTCCTATGGCTCTCTCTTGCCATGTATTTATCTTTCTGTTTCAGTCTTTCTGCCTCTGCCTGTTCCCTCCCTGTTCTCTCTCTACAGTGTATCTCTGGGACTGTCCGACTCTCAGTGTTTAACTCTATCTGCCTGTTCTCGCTGTGTGTCTATTTGTCTCTGTCCCGGTGTTGGTTTCTCTGTCTCTGCATGTCTGTATCTCTGCCTTCCTCTGTGTACCCGAGTCTCTGCCAGTTTCTGTGTCTCTCCTTGTTGCTCTGTGTATGTGTCTGCTTCCCTCATCTCCCTGTATCTCTTTATTACTATCTCTCTCCTTGTCTCTGTCTGCTGTGTCTTCTGTGTATTTCTATCTTGCACGGTATTGACTGTCTCAGTATCCTCTGTCTTCTCTCTGCCTCTGTTTTGCCATAGTGTGTGTGTCTTTCTGTGCCTCCTTTGTCTCCCTCGGGATGGCCCTGTGTGTCTTCTGCCTGTCCCTATGGATCTCTCTGGCTGTGTAGTGATACTTCTCTGTATCTCTCTGCCAGTTCCATCTCAGTGTGTCATAGTCTGTCTCTCCTCTGTGTCCCCATATCGCCATCGCATCCATCTGTGATGCTCATCTTTGTCCCGTCTCTGCCTCACTGTCTATGTCCGTCTGTATCTCTGCCTTGCTGTCTCTTCTCACTCTCGTCCTCATTCCCCAGGCATCAGTCTGTCTCTGTCTTTCTGTCCCTGTCAGTCTTTTGTATCTCCCTGTCAATTGATCTGTTTTTGTCTCACTGTTCCTGCCGCTAGATCTCTGTATACATCTGTCTCCCTCATCTCTAAATCTGTTTCCTTGGGTCTGTCTCTAAATACTGTTTATTTCTTTGACTTTCTCTGTGTCCTTCTATCTTCGTGTTTCTCTGCGTGTCTTTCTGCAGCCCCCTTGGTCTCTCACTGTCTGTCTCTGTACCTGTCCCTCTGTATCTCTATTCTGTGTCTTCCATCTGTCTCGGGGGGGGGGGGGGTCTTTTGCGGTGTAGCTTTCTGCTTCCCACTTCTTTCTCCGTGTCTCTCTGTCTATTCTGTACCTGTCTCTCTAGTGGCAGGAATTCTGTACTATGCGTCTGTCTCTTTCAGTATCTGTCTCAATTGGTCTGTTTCTGTCTCACTCTGTCCCTGTCTCTCTTGCTCTGTCTCTGGTGATATGTCTTGGTTTCTTTCTCTGTGTGTGCGTGTCGCTGTCTCTTGCTGTGTATCTCTTTATGGCGCTGTCTCCTCTGTATCTGCCTGCCTCTGTGTTAACACTCCTTTTTCTATTTGTGTCTCTGTCATGGCTCCATGTCTGTCTGCCTTTTCTGTGTTTCTGTCTTTTCCAGTTCCTCTGTCTCACTGTATCTGTCTGTCCTTCTAATGCTCCCTTGCTGTGTCTCTGTACTGTTCCTCTCTGTCCGTCTGTGTGATGTATCTTTCATCTGTCTGTCTCTTTGCCTTGACTATCTGTTCCTCCTGTCTGTATATTTGTCTGTGTGCGTCTATCTCATCTGTCTCTATTTGAGTTTGTCTCTCACTTTGTCGTTGTCTTCCATCTCTCATCTCTGTCCACTCGCATTGTGTCTCTCTCTGAATATTGTTTTCTGTCTGTCTGTACACATCTCTCCTCTTTCTGTACTGCTCTCTGTCATGTCTCTATGGCGCTCTCTTGCCGTGTATTTATTTTTCTCTGTCTCCCTATGTGTCTCCATCCTGCCCCTCATCACTGTGTCCCTGTCTGTCTCTCGGCATATGTCAGTCCTGGTTTCCCTTGCTGTGTCTTCTGTGTCCTTCTCTCTGCCTCTCATCCTATTTATCTCTGTTTTTTTCTCCCCCCTTTGGTCTTTGGGTGTCTCTCTCTGTATCTCTACCTCTGTCTCTGCCTCCTCTCTTACTGTGTTTCTGATCTTTGCCTGTCTGAGTTCCTCTGTCGTCTTGTGTATGTCTCTCAGTGTTTGTCTCTGTCTGTCTGTTTCTCTGTATCTGCCTATCTTTGTCTCTATCTTTCTGTGTCTCTCCACTGGACTCTGTCTGTGTCTCGTCCATCTCGTTTGGGTCTCAGTTTCCCATCTCTCCCCTCCTCTCTGTAAATCTGTCTCTTTCCTTGTCTCTGAATATTGTTTTCCTGTCTTTCTCTTTGTACATCTCTAGTTCTTTGTCTATGTATCTGTCTCCTCATGCTGCTCTTGGGGTGTATTAATCTTTCTGTCTCTCCAACTTGTTCTGTCTCTGCCTGTCTCTGTTTGTGTCTCTGCATCCCCCCCACCCCTTGCTGTATCCTTTTGTCTGCCCCTACTGTTTCCTTCTTCTGTCTGTTCTCCGTCCCTCTGAGTCCTCTCTTGCAGAGTCTCTCTGTACCATTTGTCTCTGTCTCGGTGTTCTGTCTTCCTCTCCGTGTCTGACTCAGTATCTGTCCACGTCACTGTGTCTCAGCCTCTGTTTCCCCCTTCATCTCTGTCCCTTTCCTTGTCTGCCGTGTGTGTCGTCACTGTGCCTGTGTGTCCCTGCCCTATCCTCTTTCTGCCGCTGTCTCCGTCGTGGTCTCTCACTATCTGTGTCTCTCTACCTGTCTCATCATTGTCTCGGTTTATCTGTCTTGGTTTCTTCTCTCTCGTTGTCTTCCTTATCTTGCTGTGTATGTCTCTGTATCTCTTTCCCTCTCTCGCTGTGTATTTGTCTGTCTCTGTGGTGCCTCATCTGTCTTGTATTGTTTCTATGTTTCCCTTTGACTGCATATCTATCTCGCTGCACTACCCTTGGTCTGCACATGCACACACCGTGTCTCTCAGTCCTCTACATGCATGCTCTCTCCCTCTGCCTACCCCATGGATCCTTCTGGATCTGTCCCCTGCAGTCTGTTTCTCTTCGTAGCCCTGTGTTGGTTTCGCTCTCTTTCTCCTCTTGCTGTGCATCTGTCTCTCTCTGTCCCTGTGTCCAGCTGTTTCTGACTTATGGTTTCTCTGTATCTGTCTCCATCTCCCTATGTCTTGTCTGGGCTGTGATGTGAGTATCTCTGTCTGCTGCTCCCTGTTACATCTCTCAGGCTCTCTTCTGTGTGGTCACGGTCTCTCTGTATCCTTCTGTCTCGTACTGCTTTTCCCTCTTCCTGTGTTTGTCTGTCTCTCTTTCTCTCCAAGTCTCTCTCTGTCTCTTAGTGTGTCCGGGCCCCTCGGTACCTTCACATGTGCATGGCTCCCTCGTCTCAGTAGGCCCAGCTCTCTCGGTGTCTGTCTCTGCCACAGTCTCTGCTCCCCATCCGCCTCTCACTTCGCACACCCCTTTCCTTGGCATAGGCAACAGTAGATGGTCTGTCGGTTGAGGTTAAGATGAAAGAACTAGAACGTAAGACAGCTCTGGCTGACTCCTCCACTCACCTTGGTGCTCTTTACTGACAGTGGTTGTGAGTGTCTCGGCTGAGCAACGTGGGCCTCATCTCATGTTTCCACCCACATGGAGAAATGCCTCATCGGAACCCATGTGCCCCAAAACATGTCAAACTCACCTGTGCAGGGTGATGGGTTTGGAGACATCCATCCCTGGCTCCAGTTCAGGAGCTCCTGGAGGGCACCTGTATACACTTGTGGGGTCTGATTAATAAAGTTAAAACCAAGCCCCGCTCCTTGCCCAGCAGGGACTGGTTGCCTTGGGGACGAGGCCATCAGACAGACCACCGTGACCAGAAATGTAGAGGCCAGTGCCCAAGACCAGACATCCAAGCAGGTAACTGGCACCCCAAGTTAGAAATTCTCTGAAAATAGTATAAAAGTCTCAAATCCTCCTTCGTGCGCAGACCCCTCCCATCTTGCCGGCTGCTCCCCTCAGTAGTATATTTCAATAAATCCCCTTTTTCTGTTCTCCACACTGTCTCTGGTGAATTCTTTCATCCCTGCGCCTCCAGGCTCACCCCGATACTTCTCTCCACTACCACTCAGTCATGAACAGGGAGCCGTTGTGGGAATCCAGGCAGAGAAGCGCCTGCAGAGCTTGGTGCAGGCACATCTGGATGCACTGAGCGGGGGAAGAGGAATAGTTTTTTACCCACATTACTCCTCCCCCAAAGTTTCACAGCTCAGGGCCAATGGACTCGCTACATCATGATTTCTCCTACAGGGAGGCGTGAGAGCTGAGAGGCCGCATCCTGGCTGACGTGCTCTGCCCAACGTGGCAGAAGCATCTCATTTGTCGCTCCCCGTCCAGAACGACAGGAGGGGCAGACAGGAGGCTGCCAGATGGAATTCTTCAAGACTCTACGTGCTCCGTCACAGACTATAATGCCTGCTCCTGAGCTGACGGGGACCCCTCATTTACGGACCCCTTCAGCTGACCAGTGGGCGCCCTGTGTCAGTGCCTGTGCCTCTCCAAGGCAGCAGCATGAGATTGGCTTGTGAGCCACACAAAGTTGCCCCCATCCGCAGGTCACACACAGATGCTGGCATCAGCACCACCCTAGGTACAACAAAGTGGGGCTTGCAGCACTGGGCTGGTGGTGGTTACCAGATCAAGAGCAGGCGTCCCGGGGAAGAATTCTGCCAAGATAGTGACTAAGGTTGAAACCTGTTTGTCTATTGAAAAAAAAAAAATCTCAAACTTCCTACTCCTAGGAAGGCTGTCAGGTATTTCTTTTCCAAAACAACTTAAAGATTGAAATGAGTCATTTCAAGAGAGATGAGTCCAGCACAAAACTTCCAAGAAGTAAAAAATCAAAGCAACACAGCACCACAGCACGGTCATGAGTCCCGGTAACGATTCACAAGACTTGCAGTCGGCAAGACATTCAAGAACAATCAAAACAGGTATTTCCATGTTGTAAGGAAGTTAAGAGCTACAAGAAAATGCAGAATGACAATTCCAGTGTCAGAAAAACACATCAACAAAGGTAAAATATAACAAAGGCATTAAAGGCACCAAAACATCCTGCTACAGCCTGTACCACCAAGTAAACACAAACAAAGGCAAAAAAAGAGAAAGGTAACACACAAAATAGAAGTATTTGATTCTTGACATAATCTCTCTAAATGAATAAATTCACCAATGGAAGACAGAGAGTGAGTGGATTTAACCAAAGACCGTACTATATAGCCAAGGAAGGAAGACTATATTTCACACAAAAGAAATCCAAGAATGAGGGGTTAGCTATACTCCTAGCACAATAAATATGCTTCAAGCCAAAAACTGTAATAAGAGATGAAGATTATTATAGAACAAGGTATCAACACTTAATGAGATGCAGCAATCATATACTTAATTGAATCTAACATCAGAGCATATATAAATGAAGCAATTTAGATCTGAAGGAAGAAACAGACAATGATTTAACAATAGTAGATATATTCAATTTAACAATAGTATCATGCTTTCTTTAATGGGTAGGTCATCTATAAAAAATGGACTTAGACATATATAGAACAGCCCAAAGAGCAGCAAAATATATGTTCTTCAGATGCACAAAAAGCATTATCCAAGAAAGATCATGAGATAAAATATAAAACAAATGTGAGCAAATTTAAGATGATTCAAATCATACCAACTATCTTTCTGAACATGATATAAAACTAGAAATCTGCAAGGTGAAAGTTGGACAATCTACAAATAAATGGAAAGTAAATAAGGGCCTCCCTGGTGGTGCAGGCAGTTGAGCCCCGTATTGTGAAGTGGTCTGCAGCCTCTGCAGCGCAGGTTCTATCCCGGCCAGCGAGAATCCCACGTGGCACGGCAGACCTCTCCTGTCTCACCCGCTGCTCCCCTCAGCAGTGTATTTCATAAGTCTGCCTGTTCTGTTCCCCGCTCTGTCTCTTGTGAATCCTCTCATCCTCCCGCGCATCTGGCCTGTACCCTGGTTCTTGTATAAATAATCAAAAAAAAAAAAAAATGAGTGCCTCCCCGGTGGCGCAGCGGTTGAGCGCTGGGTTGCGAAGCTGCCAGCAGCCTCTGCAGCGCCAGTTTGATCCCCGGCTGCTCTCCGGCCACCGGAGGAGGGTCCCACATGGCGCGCAGACCTCTCCTGCCGCCCGCTGCTCCCCTCAGCAGTGCACTTCGGTCCTTCTGCCTGCTCTGCTCCCCGCTCTGGCTCTGGTGAATTCTCTCACCCTCCCGCGCTTCTGACTGTACCCGGTGCTTGTATAAATAAATAAAAATAAATCTTAAAAAAATAAATAAACGAGCAGGTGAATGGGAATTTTAAAAAGTCAAATGACAATGCAGAAATACCAGCACTTAAGGAATGCTATAAAAGTAATTCTGAGATAAAAGTTCACAACAGTGCATATATATGAGAAGTACAAATGCAAAGAAACTAATTCCTTTAGGTATTGATAATCTATATTTGAATCTAGACAGCATTCCTCCAAAGTTGGCAGAAGGAAGAAAATAATAAAGATCAAAGTTGGGATTATATCAAGGAGAGACAAAAGTAGGATTCACAAAATTAGGATCTGTATGTTTTCCAGTGATAAACAAAACTAACAGCTTAACTAGACTGAGAAAATAGAGAAAACAGACGTAAAATCAGAAATGCAAGACCAGGCATTGTAAGTGATTCTATAGAAAAACATTATTATAAAAGACTACTATGAATAATTACATAGCAACAAATTAGATAACTTACACACATCCTACAAAGTCTGAATCAGGAAAAAATAGAAAAACTGAACAGACCAGTAACAATCAAAGATACTCAATCAGTAATCAAACACCTGCAAGAACACGTGATCATCTCAATAGATGCAGAAAAAGCATCTGACAAAATGAAATAACCATTCATTAAAACACTCAAAATGAGGGGCCTCTCTGGTGGCACAAGGGGTTAAGACACACCAATGAAGCTGTCCACAGCCTCTGCAGCACAAGTTTGATCCCCAGCCAGCCAGGAAACAACCCACATGGCACAGCAGACCTCTCCTGTCTCGCTCGCTGCTCCCCTCAGCAGTGTATTTCAGTCGATCTGTCTGTTCTGTTCCCCACTCTGTCCCTGGTGAATCCTTTCACCCCCTGCAACTCTGGCCTGAACCCAGTTCTTGTATGCATAAATATATATTTTCTAAAAAAACACTCAAAAGATTTACTATTAAGGAAGAATGCCTCTCCACCATGAGGGAGATAAACAAGCCCGCAGGTAACAGCACACCCCGCTGTCAGGGGACGCTACAAAGGCAGTTCTGAGAGGAAAGGGAAAAGGTGAAAGCGTATCCTCTAAGGTTAGGAACGAGACAAAGTATGCCAACTTCACTACTCTTAATCAGTACTGCACTAGGAGTCCTCACCACATCAACTAGGCAAGACAAAACAAAGCCTGCTAAATCAGAAAGTGGTCATAACACGGTCAGTGTATCAGATAAGCTTTTGTACAGTAATTATCCCAAAGATGCAAGTGAAAAGCTGTTGCAGCACACAAAAACCAACATACAGAAATGAATTCCATTTCTACACACTAGTAAGAAACACCTGGAATAAAAATAAAGAAAATGAACCTATTTTCAGTAGTATCACAACAATAGTAAAATTGTCAGGATTAATTTAAATCGAGGAGGGGGGAAATCTCTACATTGAATACCCTAAAACACTAATGAAAGAAATTGAAGACATAAATGGGAAAACATGCTATATTCACACATAGTAAGAATTTTACATTGCAAGAACATTTTTATACTATCTATTGATTCAACACAAGCCATTTTAAACATTAAATAGCATTCTATGCATAAAAAATCCTCAAATTCTTTGTGGAATCATAAAAGACTTGGATGTCAAAGCAATTCTGAGAAAGAATAAAGTTGTAGTTATTAAAATACCCGATTTGAGGGGGCCTCCCTGGTGGTGCAAGGGGTTAAATCTCAGCACTATGAAGCTATCCATAGCCACTGTAGCATGAGTTTGATCCCCGGCCAGGGAGCTACCCACATGGCACAGCAGATCTCTCCCTGTCTCCCCACTGCTCCCGTCAGCAGTGGATTTTAGTCTGCCTGTTCTGTTCCCCACTGTGTCTCTGGTGAATCCTCTCACATCCCCACATCTCTAGAATACAGTCCTCGCCCCCACACCTCTGGCTCTATGCAAAAATAAATTTTAAATCTTTACCCCAAAAAAACATAATGACCAAGATATGGAATCAACTTAAATGCCCATAAATGGATGAATGGGTGAAGAAAATATGAGATAGGGCCTCCCCGGTGGCGCAGCGGTTGAGCGCTGGGTTGCGAAACTGCCCACAGCCTCGACAGTGCCGGTTCAATCCCCAGACGCCAGGTGAGTGTCCCACATGGCGCACAGATCTCTCCTGCTGCCCGCTGCTCCCCTCAGCAGTGTACTTTGTCTATCTGCCTGTTCTGCTCTCTGCTCTGGTGAATTCTCACCCTCCCATGCTTCTGACTGTACCCAGTGCTTGTATAAATAAATCAATCTTGAAAAAGAAAATTATGAAATAGATTATAGATATAGATACAGATAGAGGTGTGTGTGTGTATATATATATATATAAATAAAAAAGATCTAGACGTAGAGAACTATATATATACAATGGAAAATTATTCAGCTGTGAGAAAGGAAATTGTGACATTTGCTACAAATTGGAGAAACTTGAGGTTATGTGAGGTAAGTCAGGCATATGAAAAATGCTCAACATCTTTTATTATCAGGGAAATGCAAATCAAAACTACAATGATATGCTACCTTACACCAGTGAGAAAGCCACATATTAGAAAACTAAGAACAAATATTGGCAAGGATGTGGAATAAAAGAAACTCTTCTACACTGCTGGTGGCAGTGCAAACTGGTACAACCACTATGGAAAGTTGTATGGAGGTTCCTCAGTCTACTAAAAATGGAGCTACCATATTTCCCAGCAATTCCACTCCTAGGGATCTACCCAAAGCATGCAAAAACTGATTCAAATGGATACCTGCACCCCTATGTTTATTGTAGCACTATTTATAATAGGTAAGATTTATAAACAACCCAAATGCCCAAAAATAGATGACTGGATCAAGAAGACGTGGGATATATACAGAATGGAACACTATTCAGCAATCAAAAAAGATAAATTGTGCCATTTATAGCAACATGGGTAAAGCTGGAAGGGATGATGCTCAGTGAAATAAGTGAGAAGGAAAAAGTAAAATATTGGATGGTTTCACATATAGGAGAAATATAGGGGAACCAAATAAGGGATCACGGAAAAGAAAGTATTAACAATGAAAAAACAGGGCCTCCCCTGGTGATACAGTGGTTGAATGCTGGGCTGTGAAGCTGCCCACAGCCTCTGCAGCGCTGGTTCGAACCCTGGCAGCTGGTGAGGGACCACATGGCGCAACAGACCTCTCCTGCTGTGCCCGCTGCTTCCCTCAGCAGTGTATTTTGCTAGACTGCCTATTCTGTTCCCCACTCTGGTGCTGGTGAATTCTCTCACCCTCCAGCGCTTCTGACTGTACCCAGTGCTTGTATAAGTAAATAAATCTTTAGAAAAAAATGAAAAAACAAAATTATAAGGCAACTATAAATCAGAGACATTCTGCAGGGGAGGTGGAGGGGAGGGATCCAACAAGGGCAGGAAGAGCACAAGGGACTATGGTGATGGTCACATGTGACCTGGTGGTGGGAATTCTAAGGGGACTACACCTGAGAGAAGAAAGCAAACATTGTACAAAAATGAACAATGATCTAAAATATTATATTAAAGAGAAAAAAAAACAAAACCTGAACCTACTACTTAAAAAGTATAACACATCAAAGGCACAGTATAGTAATATACATGACAGTACTGTATTATAATAACCAAACTTGCTGACACTAAAATTTAATTTTTCCAAACACAACCAAAAACTGATACAACAGAAGTGCTAATTAGTACTATAATGGAAATAGTATTATATGAATGTATTATGATGTACAAATTAACAAAGATATTCACAATGACATTAAGTTATTGTCAGTATTTCAAGGAAAACAACACAGAGCATGAAAATCAGAACGGATCAAGCAGAAGTAAAAATCTGAGTTAGCAACCCAGAAAACTGTGTGGCGGTTGCTCAAATTATTAAAAACAGAGCTACCATATGACCCAGTGATTCCATCCTAGGAATCTACCCAGAGGACACAAAAACATCAATTTGAAAGCAAACCGGCACGCTTGTTTAGTGCAGCACTATTTACAATAGCTAAGATAATGAATCAACCTAAATGTACAAAAACAGATGAGTGGATCAAGATGTGCTGTAAATACACAATGGAATACTACTCACCAATCAAAAGATAAACTCATGCCATTTGCAACAACTGGATGGAGCCAGAAAGGATTATACGCAGTGAAGTAAGTCAGAAGATAAAGAAAAATAGCTCATGGTTTCATTTAGAGGGGGAAAACAGGGAATCTGAAGAAAGGGTCAAAAAAAAAAAAAAGACAAAACTTGCAGGTAAACTATAGATCTGAGGCATACAGTGGGGCGGGGATGGAGATGGGTAAATAGCACAAAGGACTATGGTGACGGTTCACAGATGTGGTGGTGGGACATTTATGGGGACTACATGAGAGGAGAAATCAACTACTGTACAAAAATAAACTATGTAAGAAACCTAAAAAACTGATATAAAATATTTCAAGGCACTATTTCTAAGAAGTAATAGCATATTGTTCCTTCCTTCCTGGTTTGAAATATAATGCTCAGGACC